AATATCTTTATTTTATTCTTAATCTCAAAAAGTAGTATAGCTATACATAGAATTCCTAGTATAGTTATTTTCTCTCAGCACTTTGGTATTATTTTTGTCTTCTAGCTTTTATTTTGGTTATTAATAAATCTATTGTCACTATAATTATAGGTATTTTTCTTTGTAGATAATTCCTATTTTCTTTTTCTCTAGTTTCATACAACATTATTTATGCTTTCCTATAATTGTTCTTCAGAATTTTACCAGTGTAAGCTTAAATACTGTCAATGCAGTTTTACTTGTATTTGTACTGTTGCATTCTCATTTTACCTTCTGAATATGAACATTCATATTTTCTATCAATTTTGGAAAGTTCTCAGATGTTATCATTTTAAATATTGTCCCTCCTTTCTTTCCCTTTGTTCTCTTATTCCTAAATGTCTGTTATATGTATGTTGGAACTTCTTCCTCTATCCTCCAAGTCTCTCATCTGCTCTTATATTTTCCATCTCGGTAAGTCTTTGTGCTACATTCTAATTTCCTCAGACCTAACATCTATTTTGCTAATTCTCTCTTCAGTTGTGTCTAATTTGCTGATTAATTTACCCCTTAAGGGGTTAAAATTTTAATCATGTGATAAAATTAAAAACTGCTCAACTAGCAGCTGCTATCTAGATCATGATATTCCTAACTCAAATAAAACAATGCTATAAAAATGTTTACATAAGGCTACTTCATGTCAATTGTTAGAGCAAAACAGAAAAGACACCTTGTAACTACAAAAATGACTAAGTGTCTCACTCTTGACTAATATTAGTAACTACTGCTCTTTGGCTGGTGATAACTCTAGCCCTTCTTTAATACTCCTGATACTTATCAAATTATTAAATCACCAAATTTCCTCCATTTCTTGACAACATCTGATCCAGAACTGACTCCTGCTTTCTTAACTCCTGCTTACAAATAGCCAGTTCAAGTGCAAATTCCCATTCACAATTCCTCTGGTGTGTTTTCTTTTTTGATTTAGGAAACAAAATAAAGCTAGCTTTTTAAAATATCTTCAAAGTGACTTTTAATATACTATATTTTTAACTTCTAGGTGTTCTATTTTACTTGTTGATTATCTGTTTTTTGTTTGTTTTTTGAGATGGAGTCTCATTCCGTCACCCAGGCTGGAGTGCAGTGGCATGATCTCAGCTCACTGCAACCTCTGCCTCCCTGGTTCAAGTTATTCTCCTGCCTCAACCTCCTGAGTAACTGAGACTACAGGTGCATGCCACCATGCCTGGCTAATTTTTTTTTTTTTTTTTTGCATTTTTAGTAGAGACAGGGTTTCACCATGTTAGACAGGATGGTCTCAATCTTCTGACATCAGCCTTGGCCTCCCAAAGTGCTGGGATTACAGGTGTGAGCCACCATGACCACTCAACTGTTTTGTTTTTAATTTTGACTGTGTTTTTATTTTCTATGTTTTCTACTCCTTTTATAGCTCTAATTATTTTAAACATACTTAATTTCGCCAGTGCAGGTTTAGCCAGCATTTGTATTACTTGAAGTTGTGGGACATCATTTGCTAATTTTTGTTCAAAAATGGAATATTTCTCTGTGTGTTTTACCATTTTCCATTGTAATCTCATTTCATTTTGAGACTATGTCCTTCTATAGTGAATTTGTGTTTGCTTCTGCTAGGTGCACCAGGCATAGTACCATTTCAGCACCAACTATTTTTAAAGTCTGTTTACTTTGTTCAGTAATATTTTACATAGAATACAATTCACTCTTCATATACGAGGAGATTTGACAAATGTGTACATTTGTGTAACCATTCCCAGTCAAGATATTGAACATTTCTGTCACCCAGAGTTTCCATTTCAGGTCAATCTTCAAAATAATATGCAATCTTGGAGATTTCTGGACCATGTAAACAGTATGAAGTATATATGTGCCCTCTAACTCTATTAGGCTTAGGTCTGGGTTAGAACTTTTCTAAACAGACATCTTAAAAAAACAAACAAAACTCTAAATTTCGTTTAAGGAAAACAAGCTTCCTTGTTTTCTTTTCTTTTCTCTCTTTTTTTTTTTTTTTTTATTTTGAGAGAGTTTTGCTCTTGTTACCCCAGGCTGGAGTACAAAGGTGCAATCTCGGCTCACTGCTACCTCCACCTCCTGGGTTCCAGAGATTCTCCTGCCTTAGTCTCCTGAGTAACTGGGATTATAGGCATATGCCACCACTCCCGGTTAATTTTGTATTTTCAGTAGAGAGGGGCTTCCTCCATGTTGGTTAGGCTTGAATTCCCGACCTTAGGTGATCTGCCCACCTCTGCCTCCCAAAGTACTGGGATTACAAGTGTGAGCCACTGTGCCTGGCCAAGCTTCCCTTGTTTTCTACCTGTTTTTGGTATGGAGATTTTTTCCATCTAGTTGAGCCGTTTGGTGTGGATGTAGCTTTTTGATGGTCCAGCATTCCATGTATGTTTTAGTTAAATCTTCTTGTCTTGAATGTACCCAAAACCTCAAGTTATGCTCTTGATGGGCATTAAACTATAACTCCATGTTTAGTGAGACCCACAGTGCTGTTGTCCAAGTGTTTTTCTTTTGTTTGTTTGTTTTTTGAGATGGAGCGTCACTCTGTCACCCAGGCTGGAGTATAGTGGTGCGATCTCAGCTCACTGCAACCTCCACTTCCCAGGCTTAAGCAATTCTCCTGCCTCAGCCTCCTGAGTAGCTGGGACTACAGGTACATGCCACCATGCCCGGCTAATTTTTTGTATTTTTAGTGGAGACAGTGTTTCACCATCTTAGCCAGGAAAAGTCTCGATCTTCTGACCTCGTGATCTGCCTGCCTCGGCCTGCCAAAGTGCCAGGATTACAGGTGTGAGCCACCGTCCCCACCCTAATTTGTGTATTTTTAGTAGAGACAGGGTTTCACCATATTGGTCTGGTTGGTCTAGAACTCCTGATCTCAGGCAATCCACCCACCTGGGCCTCCCAAAATGGGGGGATTACAGGCATGAGCCACCATGCTCAACCCCATTGCCCAAGTTTTAGCTGCCAGGTTTACATCTTTTGTTTTTGGTTACCCCTTCCTCTTTTTTGATACATTTTAATGACATATAATGTACATACAGAAAGGTACACCAATCATAAGTATATAGCTCAACACCTTTCCATGAGTGAACATTCCTATTCAACAAGCACCCAGATAAAGAAAAAGAACATTATTAGAAACCTGTTAGGATTCTTGCAATCACTCCCTTCTCTAACAAGAATCATTATTTGAACATCTAACACCACAGATGAATTTTGCCTATTTTTGAACAGCATATAAATGCAATCATACAGCATACAGTACTCTTTAGTGTCTGGCTTCCTTTGCTTATCATTATGTTTGTGAGGCTTATGCATGTTGTTTCATGTAGCCACAGTTTGTTCATTCTCATTACTGTTATTATTCCATTGTACAAACACAACAGGATTTATATTGTAGGCGGACATTTGGATTGTTTCATTTTCCTCTTCACTAGTGGAGCCTGGGATTTCTCTTTACTTTCTTTGAGCTCTGCTGTGTATTGAATAGGATTAAAGCAGCATTTCCTGGTCAGCAATTCTAGATGTTCTGTGTCAGGGAATATTATAGATTTTACTGGCTGCCAAAGCTCTAGAGACATAAATCATATGTTCCTTTTTTGAGTTGGAGTTTCGCTCTTGTTGCCCAGGCTGGAGTGCAATGGTGCGATCTCGGCTCACTGCAACCTCCACCTCCTGGGTTCAGGCGATTCTCCTGCCTCAACCTCTCGAGTAGCTGGGATTACAGGCACGCACCCATTCCTGGCTAATTTTGTATTTTCAGTAAAGACAAGGTTTCACCATGTTGGTCAGGCTAGTCTTGAACTCCTGACCTCAGGTGATCTGCCTGCCTCAGCCTCCCAAAGTGCTGGAATTATAAGTGCGAGCCACTGTGCCTGGCCTGAAATTCTTACTTCTCAAATGATTTACTTTAGCTGATTACTTATTTCTTTAGACTGTTATCTGTATTAATGGTTTTAATTCCTGTGAACCAATAATAAGTGAATAAAAACAGGAGCATAGGGATGAGATATGTAATTAATCTTGTAGTCATGATCTCTTGCAGAGTTGGGATATTGCATGTGCAAGGCTAGTTTAATGTTAATAAGTGTAAAATATTTTTAAAAGCGTGTTGTAGAAACAGAGTGACTGGGCCAGGCATGTTGACTCATGCCTGTAATCCCCCACTTTGGGAGGCCGAGGAGGGTGGATTACCTGAGGTCATGAGTTCAAGACCAGCCTGGCCTACATGGTGAAACCTCGCCTCTACTAAAAATACAAAAAATTAGCCAGCCATGATGGTGGGTGCCTGTAATCTCAGCTACTCAGGAGGCTGAGGCAGGAGAATTGATTGAATCTGGGAGGCAGAGGTTGCAGTGAGCTGAGATTGTTCCATTGCATTCCAGCCTGGGTGACAGAGCAAAACTCCGTCTCCAAAAAGAAAAAAATAAGAAAGAAATAGAGTGGCTGAAGATGGCAATAGTATAAAGTGTGGATATGGTTGTTTGGGACCAGGATCTCTTGTCTAATTGAGACTGAGAATATGAAATGAGAAGCAAATTCTCTTGATGACTCAGTGGTATCTAATCAAATTAGATTAGATACCACTCCAAAATGGAGCTGCCTTTTGTTCTACTAGTTTAGTGGTTCCCAACTGGAGGCAATTTTGTCCCCCCACCCCACCCAGGGGATATCTGGCAATGTCTGAAGATGTTTTTGGCTGACATACTACTGGCAGCTACGAGGTAGAGGCTAGGGATGCCGCTAAACATACTACAATACAAGGACAGCTCCCTAAACAAAAACTTACCCTGTCTCAAATGTCAGTGTTCAGAAATGTCTTGCTAGACATCGAGACTAGACAAAGTCTCTAAATTAAAGGTGTAATTAAATAAATACACTATCAACTACTTTTCAAGAAACGATAGCATTTGGCTGGGAACAGTAGCTCTTACCTGTCATCCCAACACTTTGGGAGTTCAAGGCAGAAAGATCACTTGAGGCCAGGAGTTCAAAGCCAGAAATTCAAGACAAGATTGTTCAACACAGAGAGACCTAGTTGCTAAAAAAAAAAAAAAAGATAGCACTACATGAACAAATTCTTCCATATTTCTATCCAAATTCTGACACTCTGTGGCTCTCCCTAATTCTTTTCAAAATTGTAATGGTGAGTCCTGCAACAACTAAATCCATTTAGGATTTGAATAAAATTACTCGGATCTGACATTAATATAACTAGATATGTACAGCAATTTGTTTATAGCTATTAAAAATTAAATAACAAAATTGCTCTATGATTTATGCCATTATTATTTTTATTTTATTGTTGAAAACATTAAAGTTCCAAGGCCATGGAGTAAGTCATTTGCGATCATGGCATTAGACAAATAAAAATCTTGATGTTGTGCCTTGCAGTTAGACTACAAGGTATTCTTTTCCTTTGTTCATGTATTTTTGCAGCTTAAATTTAGGGCAAAGCTAAATTTCATTATTTCTCCAAAGGAGGTGATTACCTAAATCTGTCCCTTCTTCCTCCAGGCAGCACATACTACCATTTATTCTTCTGATTCATTTCCCCTAGAAAGCTGAGAAGGAGTTTTATAATGATATTATTGGTTTTGTAACTGGTGTTTCCATTGTAATGCTATTACGGAACCAGTGTTGTGATAAATGATCTGTTTATAAGGGAAATCACTTTTACAAGAAGTAGAAAATTAGACACGCTTCTGCTTTGCAATAACAATAAAAACCACGGTGAAAAAATATTCTCCAGTTTATTCCCATCTGTCTCAGCAGGGAAGCTTTAGAAGATGGCTTTCTCCCTAAAGTCTTCTAAACACGATTACTACCTACAAGTACCATGTCAAAATGCAAATTTCCTCCAAATCCTATTGAAGGCCACTACATTCTTAAGCTAACCATGACGTGGGCCCTTTAAGAAAACCAGGCGCTTCAAACTCCACCCCTCTGCTGACTTGAAGCAGTCCATCAGTCTTTCCAAGGCGGTTAGTTTTGTGGTGACGCTAAGAGAGAGTTAATTTGCCCCCTGCTCTGCCTGGAAGAAATGTTCCTGTTGCAATAAGCTCTAAAAGTGGAAGCTTTAAGATACTGCGGAATAGGGAACAATAGAAACTTGTGAGGTATAGCAGCCAGACCCACTCTTAAGATTCCTTCACAGTGCTGAATAAAGTGGAAAGAATGTTGTTAAATCTGTTTCCCCCTGTGGTGCTGCTTCTCCCTGCTAGCTTTACTCTTCCATTTCACCCCTCAAGGGAGCTTTCCAGAATCCGTTTCCAACTTAACTAGCTAATTGTCTCAAGCACTAGATCCCCAAAAGGAAAAGTGAGAGAACTAAATTTCAGTGCAAATTAAACTGGATCACTTGTAACAGAATGATTTAGATTGGCTATATGTTTCTCAAGAGCAAAACCAAGCATTACCCACCTGCTACGCAAACAGTGACCGAGTCCAGAAGTTCTCTAGAAGTAAGCTAAAAAATACCTGGGAGAAACGGGGATTTAGTTGCAGTTGGCATTTGAACTGTTTGCTAAGAGCAGCCATCTTGGTGAAAGATGATGTCATTTGGAACACTTGGTGTTTTCGAGTTTATTCTGAGGTGCCAGTTTCCATGAGCCATTGAATCACCGTTTAATCATGAGATCAAATTTAGGTTTATAGGTAATGAGGGAGTGGGAATGAGAATCATTCTTCCTTCTTCCTAACACTTTAGAAATCTTTCAGAAAGTTCAACGCAACAGAAAAAAATTACACTTTTTTCCATTATTTTCTGTTTCCATGTGTTGTTCTAATGTTAACTAAGCTTGGGTAATAAAACTAGTCTGGTCGGTTTCACTTTCCAATTTTTATACATAAGTGAAAGCTGTTTTGTGTCAACAGGGCAAAGTGTTTAGAATCATCTCACCTGCTGGGCCAATTTCCTGCAAGCCTTTCTTTGGGAAGAGGGAGGGATAATAAAATTTTTGACTTTTAATTTCTTAAACTGCAAAGCTAGAACCCTGAATTAGACCACATTAGAGTAATTACTGTTTTATTTTTACATGCTAAAGTTTTCTAGGAGTGAGCAAGAGGATAGCACAGAAGGGTTATGTACTCCCACTCAGTCATTACTATTTGTGTAGCATAATGTTATGTCTGCAGTTGCTTTGGAAAAGTGGCACTTAAAGAGGTATTTCAATCTTCTACTGAAAGTGTTTCGTTTTCCTTTTTTTCTTCATTAGATAAATGTTACTGTCCAAATCCTACTGCGTGACATGTGCTGCAAATGTTTGAAAGATGCAAAAAGAAAAAGAAAAAAAAGTTGCACCTTGTTTAAACAATTGATCGCAGTGTGGTTTATGAGGTTATTAGAGAGCGTTGTGTCGCTCCTGCACATTCTTTCTTAACAAGGTTAACCTGTGGCTGCTGTTTCACCCTACTCGGCCTCTTACAGAGGAACTTTGTTCTCTTAGCTTTATCCAAGCCTTCCCAGTGAAAAAACACCTTGCTTTTGAGAATATAAAACTGCGTGTATGTGTTAAACAGATAGAGGGAGACACGCGCACACAATCGGCGGAAGATGGGGCCACAACACCGGACAGGATGGATACCGGAGCCCGGCTGACCTTTCCACGTGTTCCGGACACCTGCAAGGCTGGTGGGCCATTAGGTTTCTTTTTTCTCCCCGCGGGCGCGAGCCCGGAAGAGGCTGGGCGGCCGTGGGCTTAAATCAGGGGGCTCGGAGGCCCTCCCTTGGAACACGTGTGGCTGGCTAGCCGGTGGTGCGGGGTCAGTCTTTGGCTTTCCCGCACCCGCAGTGCCTGCGCGTTCCCAGCCTGCCCATGGTCACCAGGCGGCGGCGGGCGGGTCCTCTAGCTTTCCGCCAGCTTTGCTGGGCGGCCTAGCGAGCGCGCCCGACCCGGCTGGAGCGAGCCCCAGTGCAATACTGCCCGAGCCCGGGCGGGGTCTCTGTTCTCTGGCAGAGGAGGTCCCTTGGCAGCGGGAAGCGCCCTCTCTTTTTCTCGCCGCCGCTCCGAGTCTGCGCCCTGGTGCCAGGCGCCCAGCTCGGCGCTTCCCTGTGCTCGCCCGGCGCCCACTCATTCGCAGCCCGGCCTTCGCTGCCGCCGCCGCCTCCCTGCTGCTCCTCCTCCTCCTTTCCCCAGCCCGCCGCGGCCATGGCGGACAGCGCCAGCGAGAGCGACACGGACGGGGCGGGGGGCAACAGCAGCAGCTCGGCCGCCATGCAGTCGTCCTGCTCGTCGACCTCTGGCGGCGGCGGTGGCGGCGGGGGAGGCGGCGGCAGTGGGAAATCGGGGGGCATTGTCATCTCGCCGTTCCGCCTGGAAGAGCTCACCAACCGCCTGGCCTCCCTGCAGCAAGAGAACAAGGTGCTGAAGATAGAGCTGGAGACCTACAAACTGAAGTGCAAGGCACTGCAGGAGGAGAACCGCGACCTGCGCAAAGCCAGCGTGACCATCGTGAGTGTTCCCCGGGGGCGCGCCGCAGCGCCGACCTCCGCCCGCCCGGGGAGAGGCTGCACCCGAATCCAGGCAACTCCGAGGCTTCCCCAGATTCCCAAGGACCCTCTGAGACCACACTCCCTGCGGGGACCTGCTGGCCTCCGGAGGAGAGGGAGGTGTCCCTTCAGGGCCACGCGGGTCTGCCCTCCTCGGGAGACTCGGGACCCTTGCGCGGTGCGAGGGAAGGCTGCTGTGGCAACCATTCGTGGTCCCTTTTGGCCTCTGGAGAGGAGGCCCCTCAGGGGCTGGGTTTGGAGGCTGGCGGCGTGGCTGGGGGGCGGGGTAGGACTTTTTTCAACCCTAGCATGCTTGAGGGGTGCGTCTAGAATCTGAGAAACCCCAGTCTGGGAGACAGGGAGGAAGCTGGGATCTCTTCCTGGGGCCTGGCTCAGAGTGTGGGGATTCGTAGCTGGGCTGGGCACTAAGCTGGCATCAGGACGGCTCTAGCTGGATCGCCCGGGGAGGGGGCGGGAGAGAGTGGCCGGGAATCCGGGAAGTGGAGTTTTCTGGCCAGGATCGAGAGGCAAGGGCGGGTACGGCGCTAATGCTCCCACCTCCATTGGAAGCCCTTTGCTTTGGGGTGGGAGGGTGGACGGTTTACAGCATCCTGGCCTATACAGGGCTGGGGCCGAAACCAGGGGAAGGGTAGCAACTGTGACTCCGTGGCTGAGCAAGGGAGGTACGTGTGTTTGCTTCATTCGTGGAGTGGTTAGGAGCTTGTCGCTTCTTAGTCTAGTTACTGGAGAACAAGCCATCTGTTCTGTTTCTACCTGGCCCCTGGAGGCTGCCCGGAAAAGGGTAAGCTTGGTCTGTAGGTCTCTCCCCTGGCGTGGCAGGCGTTTAGAAAGGCCCCTATAGCAGCCATGAGGCGAAACGTAACTAGAAAAAGTACACTGTGTGCTCTCACCTATCATCCCTGCCAGCTCGCCACATCATTAACATGCAGGATCCCCACACAGACAACTGTATTGAAATCAAGTTTCCCAGCCAGGAGCAGAGAAGGAAATGTCAAGAAATCAAGGGGATAAATTGCCATAGCTGCTGCAAAATAGCTGATTAGGCTGAATTTTGAAATGAAGACAAAGGGATGAATTTGGAGATGGAGGTTCATACCCTGGAAATGGGGCAAGTTTAGGATGCCCCTTGTGCTAAGAACTAGCCTTCAGCGAAGGAGCCTCTGTGTGTGTGTGTGTGTGTGTGTGTGTGTGTGTGTGTGTACACCCCAATGCTGGCTCATACATGAGAACTAGATGGCATTCTTAATTTGTGTAGAAAGCAAGTTTCCACCAAAAGTTCGTGATCAGTTGCCTAAATAGCAGTTGATTGTAAAAAGAAACTTCTCATGCTCAAATCCAATTTTGGACAGTGGAATTGGAGCAACTTTCATGTGAGATGGTAAAGTTCTCGAAGTGCCCTTTTGGTGGAAAGGGGGGGTGGGGGTGGGGAATTTGCAGAGGCCACCACTTCCAAGCCTCCTATGCAGCTTTCTTGGCTGACAGAGATGTCTTTGCTGAGTAGGGGTTAAGAAGAGAGGGAAGTTGGTGGAGGCAGTTTATTTAAGGTTTGGATTAGTAAATGAGAGGGTTAGTTTCTTGGAGACTGTGAGCCATGGAAAGTGGTAAAACTTACATGAAACAAAATAGCCTTTTGCATACAGTGGGCAATTCAGGCTGGTTTTGTTTATTTGGGAGGGAGGAATGGTGGGAGGGGGGATGCAGAGACTATGAAAGGGTTATCTGTTTGACACTTCAACCATATTATAAGTAGGTTTGTGAATTGTACTCACTCAAACACGTTGGCTTTGTAGGACAATTGTGTTCATTCCTGGAATTTAAGATCAGAGGCCTAAAAGTGTATAAGGTGGTGGCTTTTTTTATTAGCACTTACCCTTAACTAAAACTGATATCCAACCAAATATAATTTGTGAAATGTCCTGTGGTGTTAATGAGTAAAGTTAAAATTGTTTTAGGTGACACTGCACAAATACCAGAAGCCTCTCAGTTCTTTAATCTCTGACTAATATATTCTGGGAGACAAATAAAAAAGTGCTTGTGGTTCGCCTGGTTTCCTAATACTTGGCAGTTGTTACTAAGGAGCTGAATGATAAATGCAGAAAAGAGATTCCCTCAAGGTTTTGCAGGTTTTGTTAACTGACCTAGGATCCAGATTCTGTGGGGGTACATTTGACCTCTCAGGTATGTAATTTGGGAGGAGAGATGTATGTGACTCCATGAAATGAGTCTGCGAATGTAGAGAGTCCATTGAACAACACTTTAGTAGTTTATGTCAAGGTTAAGCTATACAATCCCTGACATTGCTGACTTAAGCATTGCCCTTGCTGATAGCAGTCTAGGAAGTTTGAGATACTCAATTAAGTGAAGGTCTCAATAGATTTTTAACTATTTTAGTTAATTTGAAGGGAAGATGGTACGATAATTCTGTTACTTGCCTTCCTGGCTCTTTTTAGTTCTAATTATGATATTAATGTTAGTGTTCTTGGGCACTAAAGGTGATTATGGCCTTCATTTTCCTTGTGCATGTTCAGGAAGGCACATTGCCTTTCTGCTGCACCCTGGGTAAAAGACAGGCTTTCCCCACCCCCCGCTTGTTTTGTTTTTTAATAGACTTTATTTTTTAGAGCACTTTTATCTTCACAGTAAAAACTGAACATGAAGTACAGAGATTTCCCACGTAACCCCTGCCTTCACACAGGCACAGCCTCCTACACCATCAGCATCTTACACCAGAGTGGTCCATTTGTTGCAGTCAGTGAACCTACACTGATAAATCATTATCACCCGAAGTCTAGAGTTTATTTAGTCCTGTATATTCTATGGGTTTGGACATGTGTCCATCATTATAGTGTCACACAGAGTAGTTTCACTGCCCTGGAAGTCTTCCACGCTCTGTTCATCTTTCCCTCCCTGTTAATTCCTGGCAACCACTGATCTTTTTACTCTCCTTTGCTTTGCCTTTCCCAGAATCTCATATAGTTGGAATCATACAGTACGCAGCCTTTTTACTTAGTAAATGAATTTAAGTTTCTTCCATGTCCCCCAACCCCTATGGCTTGGTTTCTGTTCAGAGTTAAATAATATTTCATTGTTTGGATGTATCATAATTTATCCATTCACCTACTGAAGGTCATATTGTTTGCTTCCATGTTTTGGCAATTATGAATAAAGCTGCTGGAAATATTCCTGTGCAGGGTTTTGTCTGGAAAGAAGATTTCAGTTCATTTGGGTAAATACCAAAGAGCACAATTGCTGGATTGTATGGTAAGAGTATGTTTAGTTTTATAAGAAATTGCCAAACTGTCTTCCAATGTGGCTGTACCATTTTTCATTCCCACCAGCAATGAATAAGAGTTGCTGTTGTGGGGCCGGGGGTGGTGTCTCACACCTATAATCCCAGCACTTTGAGGAGGTCCAGGCGGGTGGACCACCTGAGGTCAAGAGTTCGAGACCAGCCTGGCCAACATGGCAAAAAACTGTCTCCACTAAAAAATAATAATAAAAATAGAAAAAAAATTAGCTGGGGGTGGTGATGCATGCTTGTAATCCCAGCTACTCTGGAGACTGAGGCAGGAGAATCGCTTGAACCCAGGAGGCAGAGGTTGCAGTGAGCTGAGATCACGCTACTGTACTCTAGGCTGGGCGACAGAGCTGGAGCCAGACTCTCTCCAGAAAAAAAAAAAAGTTGCCATTGCTCACCAGCATTTGCTGTTGTCAGTAGGTGTATAGTAATATCTCAGTATGCCCTTTTTAAAGCCAAGTCCAAAGGCTAATAGAAGCTCTTAACCAATGGTCTCTTTTGGTGTAAGCAGCTATTCTGATCAGACTACCCATTTAATGAAGGACTAGTTTCATGGACCTGTGTTCTCAGCATCTGTATAATAGCAGTAAACATCACCTGTGGGAGAGAATCAACTGTAAGAAGCCTTCAGTCATGTCCACAAATGCCCAATGCACCTGTGAGTTATAGCCTGCCCTAGGCCATTTTATTTGGTGCTTAAAGGTGGAATAGAATATTTTGACTGATTATTTGATTTTTCCCATTGTCAGCGGTGGAAACCTGCTGCTGATTACAGATCATAATTTCTTTTTTGGACTAAGAAAAATAAATACATAGTCACCTTTTTGAGTAGCTTTTGTGTGTTAGGCCAGATCTGTTGGCTTGTCCTATGAGTGAGACTGTGATTGTGGATTATCTGATTCAGTGTAGTGAGGATTAT